ACTACGACTACGACTACGACTACGACTACGACTACGACTACGACTACGACTACGACTACGACTACGACTACTACTACTACTACTACTACTACTACTACTACTACTACTCCCTACCTCCTGCTCCTGCTCCTGCTCCTGCTCCTGCTCCTGCTCCTGCTCCTGCTCCTGCTCCTGCTCCTGCTCCTGCTCCTCTCCTCCTCCTCCTCCTCCTCTCCTCTACTACTGCCTCCCTCCTCCTGCTCCTGCTCCTGCTCCTGCTCCTGCTCCTGCTCCTGCTCCTGCTCCTGCTCCTGCTCCTGCTCCTCCTCCTCCTCCTCCTCCTCCACCTCCTCGCGGCGCTGGGTGCCGAGAAGGAGGTAGAGGACGACCGACTTGCGCAAAGGGCAGGGAGGGAAGGACGTGAATCCAGCGGCCGCTCTGTGGAAAAAAGCCAGGCGACTGTACTGCGGCCGCTCTGTGGAAAAAAAAATGACTGTACAGAGGTGGAAGATGATTAGATAGCAACTCACGGGAGCGGAGCTTTTGATCGTCCCCATGGCGCCCAAAATCGCGTCAGATAGCGCGAATAGCGGACGCAATGCATCTCCCTCATATGGCGCCACTGGGTGGTATAGGGCGCCGTTTGGACACTTTTCGGCGTTATTTGAACACTGTTCGGCGCTGCTGGGCGCGCTTGAGCGCCATTTAACACTATTGGGCACTGTCGGACGCCATTCATGCATTCCACGCAAGACGAGCGGAAGCTTCCGAGACTTACTATCTAAGAGGAAGAGGGAAGAGGAGGGAGAGCATATCCCTCCTACCCCTCCACCGTCCTCCACCTCTCGCTCCTCTGCCCCGCTTTCTTTCCCATCCCCCTCTCACTCTCGTGACGGAGGAAAACTGCCGAGGGAACAACAAAATGCTCAGACAATCCACTCGGGGAGGCAAGGAAGAGCCCCTGGCAAGATACGAGGAGGAAAGGGGAGGAGGGAAGAGGAGGAACAGGAGGGGAGGAGGGGGAGGAGGGAAGAGGAGGAGGTAAGAGGGAGAGGCAAGAGAGGAGGAGGGAAAAAGAAGAGGAGGGAAGAGGAAGAATGAAGCGGAGGAGTGAAGAGGAGGAGGGAAGAGAAGGAGGAAGGAAGAGGGAAGAGAAGGAGGGAAGGGGAGGAGGCGGAGGAGGAGGGAAGAGGAGGGGGTAAGAGAAGGAGAAAGGAAGAGGAGGAGGGAAGAGGAGGAGGGAACTGTGAGGAGGGAAGAGGAGGGGGGAAGCGGAGGAGGGAAGAGGAGCAGCCCGCGCCGGCACAGAGGACAAGCTGGACTGCCGCCCCTCCCCCCCTTCCCGCCGCCCGCCGCGAGAAGGCCGAAGCCCGCACGAGCGGCGAACGCATCCATACCTGAGTCAGTCGGGTTCTGCAGGATCCTGCTGCAGGATCCTTTGGCGGCGCGCACGGTGACATAATAGCACTAATATGTCCTCCTCGGACGCGCGCGTCCGACCCGAACATAAAGTACAACCATATTGTAGCACATCGTTGCCCGAGCGGTCCGGCCAGAAAGCGCCCGCCACGATGCTATATAAGACTTCTCGGTGCGCGCGTCGCCCCTGGGGGGGAGCACACCGCACACACAGTATGAGTATGTTAGGGGTGCCGCCGACCCGTGGCGGCACGCACAAGGGGGTAGGGGGAGGGGAGAAGGCTTCTTTGGAAGGAGGTCACTTCTTATAAGGCGGCGGGCCCACACGGCCCGCGCCTTCTGAGAGGCAGGGGTGCTTCTAAGAAGCCTCCCCCTCTCCTCCTACCCTCCTACCCTTAGGTCGGGCGTGTCCTCCTACAGGCGGAATATGGAAGAAAAATGGAAAATACTCATCTACATATATATATATATGTATATATGTGTATATATAAGTATATATATATATCATAAGGTTGACAAAATATTCGAAATAAATGAACTGTTTTCGAATATTCCTCCTGTACAGAGACATGCCCGACTTATTCCTACCCCCCTCTGCGCGTGGCCGAACCCTGGCTCCGCAGAATCCTGCAAGATCCAGCGCTCTGGCCGACCCCCGTTTGCACAGACCCCCGTCTCTGCCAACTCGGCGCGCCCTCGCGGTCTTCCCTCCGGGGCGATCCGGGACAGCGCCTGTCCTGGGAAGCTCAAGCTTGCCCCCCCCCCTCCCGACGCGCGAACCAGGAGTCACCCCTGACCACCCCCAGCCCCGATGATTTGGGAGGGGCTGGACGCCCGAGTCATCTGGGATAACTCCGGTCCGGGGTAGCTCCAGCTTGGGCCCCCGACGCGCTAACCAGGAGCCACCCCTGACCACCCCCAGCCCAGATGATTCGGGCGGGGCTGGGCGCCCGTAAGGCCCGCGCCTTCTCAGAAGCACGGGTGCTTCTAAGAGGCCTTCCCCTCTCTCCCTACCCCCCCTCTGCGCGTCGCTGAGACTTGGGATAGCTCCGGAACGGAGTAGCCCTGGCTTGGACCCCCGAGGCACGAATCAGGAGTCACCCTGACCACCCCTTGCCCATGGACTCTGAGAAACGCGAAGGGCATCAGCGAAAAAACGCTCCGTATCCGCGGGGTCGCGGCCCAGAGGCCCAGCTCGCGAGGCCGCGGGTATGGAAACGTTTTTCGCCCACGAGGCTCTTCTCGCGAGCAGCCGCCGCCGCAGTCAGAGGGCGCTTCGCAGAAGCTGCGCCAGCTCGGCCTCTGGCATCGTCCGGATGATCCTTCGGGGGCCCCCAAACGGCGTGGTTGACAACACCGTGTGGTGAGTCAGCGAGGGTTCTCGGCTGTTTTCGACGGCTCCTGAGGGTTTTCCTGCCTGGGGATGTGTCCCAGCAGCTGCGCCTCGCCGAGAACCTTCTGGGGCTGCTGGATCGTCCCGAACGGCCGCCGCAGCCACGAGTTATGTTTAAGTCGGGCCTGTCCCTCTACAAGAGGGAACGATTTCTTGATGATTATTTGGCTCTTTTTTGACTATTTTATCTTTAAATATATTGGATATTTTTTTCATCCAAAATCCGCCTGTAGGGTGACACGCCCGCCCTAAAATTATGGTCTGGAAACCAAACATTCGGAGGAGAGACGGTGTGGTGAGTGAGTGGGGATTCGGGGTCAAGGTTACAGGACGACTCTGTGGCTCGGATCGTTCTCCAGGGACGTCTCGGGCGTCAGGGGCCTCCGAGGTCCCAAAACCGTGCGGTGACGGACCGCGCGGTGAGGTGTCTTGGGTTTCCGAGGGAGGAGGAGGGAGGAGGAGGAGGAGGAGGAGGAGGAGGAGAAGAGGGACCAGTGTAAACCCAAGAATGATCAACGATGTTGGACGCAACCCTCCCTCCAAGCTCCCTCGTCATAGGCCCCTACAACGGTTCATGTCCATTGAGAGAACTGTCCAGTTTAAGACAACTGTTTGAAGATCCTGAAGCATGCCGAAGCATTGTTCTCGGGATGTCAACGCCACGTATCGACCTGAAAGCTACGATTTGAAGATCCGGAATCGTGCCATAACTCCATTTTTCAGATTTCAACACCGCGAATCAACATAACTGTTGCACCAGCATGCTCCTGAACCCTTTCCAAAATACCATTTCTGGTACGTTGAGCATGGGAATCCGTGAAATTCCTGCAACTTGTTTAAATAATGTGCGCGGCGCTATGGCGAGAGCCACATGTTGAAAAGGGAAAGGCCTCAATCCGCGAAACTCTTGAAGTGTTGTTTTAACGAATATGCGCGGCGCTAAAGCGAGAGCCACATTTTGAAAAAGCCCTCAATCCGCGAAACTCTTGCAATATCGTTTTAACGAATGTGCGCGGCGCTCAGGCGAGAACCACATTTTGAAAACGCCCCGCCCTCAATCCGTGAAACGCTTGCACTTTTGAAACAATGTGCACGGCGCTAAGGCGAGAGCCACAGTTTGACAAACACCCGCCTTCAATGCGCGAAACTCTTGCAATTTGTTTCAACGAATGGGCGCGGCGCTAAAGCGAGAGCCACATTTTGAAAAGGAAACGCCCTCAATCCACGAAGCTCTTGCAATATTGTTTTAACGAATGTGCGCGGCGCTAAGGCGAGAGCCACATTTTGAAAACGACCCGCCCTCAATCCGTGAAACTCTTGCAATGTTTGAAAACGAATGTGCGCAGCGCTAAGGCGAGAGCCACATCTTGAAAACCACCCGCCCTCCATCTGTGAAATTGCTGTCACTATTTAAGCATCAGAATCATAAATGGTGAGGAAGTCTCAGGCGAAATGCCCAGCCTGCCCTAAAAACTGGCCTCGGGGTGCGACAGGGAGAAGTTATTGATGAGGAGGAGGAGGAGGAGGAGGAGGTCACCGAATCCTCCGTACGGTCTCGGTGGCGTCCGGCACGGGCTGGCCGCTGGCAGCCGCCAGCCTCGCGACGTCCAGCTCGGGCGCGGCGCGCCCAGCGCCCTCGGAGAAAGGCGGCGGCGTCCAGCCCGGGGGCGCCCGCTTCGCCAGCTCCTCGATGATGTCGACGTAGCTGACGGTGCCGCTGGCGGCGAAGTTGAGCACGCCCGTGGACCCGCGCTTGCAGAGCTCGGGGATCAGCGGGCACAGGCTCTCGAAGATGGTTACGGACGTCCTCACCTTGTCGACGCGCTTGAAACGCGCCAGCTTGCCGATGAGCCCCCGCGGGTCCAGGTCGTTGCTCACCGGGTAGAGCACCCGGAGGGTGAGGACGTTGTCGAAATACTTGAGCAGCTCCTCCTGCTTTATCCGCAGTGCCGTGTACACGCCCGGGTCCTTGACGTTGGGCGGGTCCTCCTCCTTGAAGCGATAGCTCGGGTTGTCTGGGAACGGCTCGTATATGATCGCGGTGCCGATCAGAACGCAGTGCAGACCCCGCGCCTTGCAGGCCGCGGCGATGCCGAACTGGCACGTGATGTTCGCGTCCAGCGTCTCGACCGGGTGGCTGTCGCACCAGGAGATGTTCGGCCGGCCCCGCTCCCCGGCCGCGCAGATGACGCCTATCTTCGGGCGGTTCTCGTCGAGGAGCTTCTCGAAGCCCATCCTGTCCTGCTTGGAACATGCAAGATGAGGGCAACACCGACGGACAGCGGCTGCTGCTGCTGCGTCGCCACTACTAGACAAATCCCACCGCAGCACGGACGGCGAAACTCAGCCAAGATTGACGAGAGTCCCCGCTCGCCTCGTCCCCGATCGGGGCCAGGCAGGGGGGGAAACGCTGACAAACAAGCAGGACCCGACCAGGCTCAGACACGACGACCGACGCGCACAGAGCTACGTAGCTCCTCAGCTTCAGTGCTTGTCGACCGCTCGGCCTGGGTCCCCGGGCCTTCGACGCCCCGTCTCCTCTCGTCCTGGACTCCCGAGCTCCCTGCCCCATCCGGGGACCAGCTTCTCGTCTCGGCCCGCTTCTTCCGGCGGCAAGCGAGGGGGGGGGAGTGCGCAGGAGAAGGCCTTCTCAGAAGGCTCGGAAGCCCCCCAGCCTTGTGAGAAGCTTTCGAAGCCTTCCCCGAAGACGCGGAAGTCCGTCGGCGGCGGGGCGGAGGTGATCCGCACCAGCAAGAGCGCGAATCGGGGGCACCGAGAGGCAAATCGTCCGGCGTGCAGGAGAGCGAGGGGGGGAGAGGAGGGCGGCCGCGCGAGGGGGAAGGAGACACAGCAGGGGCCCGACCACAAGAAACCCTCCACAAGAAACCCCACCCTGGAACCCCAGGACGTCCATGGATGCTTGGTGTGGGCACGTCACGCTCTCCATGGCAAAGCAAGCAGGGTGTGTCTTGACGTGGGTCTCCACTATATGAGCCTCTACCCCGTCAACCTTGCCCCCTGGCTTTCGGGTCGTGACTCGTCTCCCCGGCGGCCGTTCGGGACGCTCCAGGCGCCCCCCAAACACCCTCGGCGAGGCGCAGCTGCTGAGGAGCACCCTGAGGCTCGAAAATCGCCGAGAACTTGCGAAAACGCCAGAACACCTCGGACCTCGAACCCGAAGTTTCGCCCCCCTGAGCCTATCCCCCCCCAGGACGCTGCCCCTGAGCCTATCCCCCGCCCCAAGACGAGTCTCTTGGCACGGGTCCCCACTGTAGGCGCTCAGACGTGGAAGGACTCCTGCGAAAAGACGCGCTCGCGGCCTGTCCTGTGAATGCCCTCGCGGCGCCCCAGGGGGGCACACGGATAACTACCCCCGGCCGAGGAATCCGGCCGCTCTCGGCGCCCTCAGCGCCAGCCCCGAGCGACGACGACGACGACGACGACGACGACGACGACGACGACGACGACGACGGCGCCCACGGCGACGTCGAGCATGACGACGACAGCGACGACGACGACGACGACGACGACGATAACGACGATGACGACGACGACGACGACGACGACGACGACGACGACGACGATAACGACGATGACGACGACGACGACGACGACGACGACGACGACGACAACGACGACGACGACGACAGCGACGACGACGACGACGACGACGACGACGACGACGACGACGATAATGGTGGCGGCGACGGCGATAACGGTGGCGGCGGCGGTGGCGGAGGCAACAGGCGAAGGTGGTGAATGTGGGGACAGCGGAACAGTCCTGCAGCCGCATGCGCGTCGCAAGGGTCTTGTAGCCAGCGCTCTCGAGGGACTTCAGGATCGCGGCGCCGATGAACCCCACCGGCCCCATCAGCACGAAGTCATAGGCGTCCTGCGTGGACGACGACAACCACCACGGCCACGACGACTACAACTACGACTCTGACGACTACGGAGGAGGGTGGAATAAAACGGAAGAGGAGAGGAGACACGGAGAGCGGGACGAGGACGAGAAAGAGGGGGGAGGATAGGGAGCGGAGGGGGATGAGAAAGGGCAGCAGCAGCAGAGAGAATGGTGGCGTGACGGACAAGCAGCGACAAACACGAAGATGGGGGCCAGATGAAGACTGGTAAGGAGGGAGGAGAAGGACTGGGAGAAGGGAGAGAAGGGAGGAGGGAGAAAGAATGCTGCAGGAGGGACGAGAGGGGGAGGGGGTAGAAGAAGAGGATGCAGGAGGGAGGGCTGGCTTGCACCCGTCGAGAGAGCGGTCAACAGCGCCCGTGCCGGAAACCTCGGCGCGACGTCACAAGTGAAACGAAGGCACGGGCACGAGAGAGGGGCCAGCACTTCGGCGTCCCCCCTTCCTGTCCGGGAGGCGCATCGGCTGAACTACCCGCTCCTGCTAGATCCTGCCCCTGGCGACTCGAAGACCGCGAGACGCTTCAGTCTGCAACAAGTTGGCTCCAACAAGCGGTCGGGCCAGCCTTAGGTCAGGCTTGTCCTCCTGCGGGCGGATCCTGGAGGAAAAATAAACAATTGCCAAAAAAATCCAAATATCGTCAAAAATAGTGGAAACATTGTCCCCAGACTTTTTTTTTACTATTTTTTGATATTCCTCCTGTAGACGGACGTGCCCGACTTCAGGCTAGCGGCGGAACGCTTCCATATTTCATTACGGCGAAAGCGAAGTATGGGCAAGACGGCAGGAGGAAAAGCGGCCGCGCAACGGACGGAGAGCTCTATGACCAGGTAGACCTTCAGGCGGCGCTGGAGGTCAGGCTCATGAACTCGACGACGGCGTCGCTGAAAAACGAAGGACATGCCGAAGACTGTGGGACACGGGAGCGAAAATTTGGGCGTTCGCCCTTCGGCGGTATAGTAACCGCAAGCCAAGCAAATCATCTCCCGCTGCTTGCTGCTCGAAAAAATCATGTCTTCAGCAACGAAACGCAGCCTCCGACAAACCACGCAAATTCAAACATCAGCTGGCCCTGCGAATCAAATCGCATTGCCATTAAAATCGCGAGACAGAGCTGGAACGATGATGAAGGGGGACGAAGACGAGGAGGACGCGGACCCTGAAGCCCCAATTGGTCACCGAGCGCATTCAACGCCGACTGGCACACAGCGTTACCTTTGCAGCGACCTCGTTTGCGGCCACGTCCGCACAGAAAACAGAATGCGCCAAGCGGGAATCGAAGCAAGGAGGCACGAACCGCCTGCGCGACGGCCACGCATGCGCATGCGGAGGAGGAGATCAGATCAGATCAGATCAGATGACCCGCGGAGGTCTGTCAGTTAGCAAAGTGTAGCCTACTGCGACCTCTGGGCGTCGCTTTTGCGACTGTGTGGTTCCACATTAGTCGAGACGGCCCCTGGCCTCTCGGACAGATGTCCGCGCTGCCCCTAAGGCGGCGGGCTGCCAGACGGGCGCGCAGCCCTGGCAGCTGCCACCACGGGGACTAGCGCGCACCATTCTCTCCCTCCCCCCCACGACGACGGTCGACCGAACTCGAGCCCCGCCCACCCCCCTTAGCACGGCCTGGCGGACAGGACGCCCGCCATCTCGCGGTGCCTCTCGCTCCCTGTGGAGCGGGTCCTGGCAATTCACTATCCTCTTCATGCGGTCTCCTTATAACGCGACCTCTAGCACTCTGCTGTTCAGCTGGCCTGGGAATGAAGGCGACAGGGACGGTGGGGAGCGAGGAGGAGGCGTAGGACTGCAGAGTAGGAGAGTGCACTGAAGCCGCCACTTCGACTGGTACATGCCCTTTGGCAACCAGCTCCGCAAGTCGCGAGCTGCTCTGGAGCCAGTTCACTTCTTGGCGCCCTTGCCCCCGCCCTTGGACGAGTGGATTTCGCCTATGATCCTCGACACCTCTCGCTCGAGTGGCCCCCGTGGGGCGGGGCCCGTCGTCCTCTTCAGGCCGTCTATCTGCACGAGGAAGTGGAGTACCTTCTCCCACATGTCCGCCACGATCTGCTCCCGCAGGCAGATGGCCAGGCTCAGCACCCCCTGGGTCGAGTCCTTGCTCGCCCTCTTGTACTTGAAGTGCAGCACGTCCATCCCGATGGCCTGAGGGGACCTCTTGAGCACCACCTCGTCCCAGTAGGTCTTGACCTTCTGGTAGCACTCGTCGTCCTTGTTGGGGCCCGTGGGGCCCGTCTTGTCGAGCACCCTCTTGAGGATCGAGATGTACACCTGCACGTAGGGGGCTCCGCGTGCCTTGTAGTCGATGGTCTCGCCGGCCTTCTCGCGCTCCTTGAGCGTCTTCGACTCTAGATCGTAGGCCGCGCCTGCGGCCTTGCACACCGCGCCAACTGTGTTGGCGTCTCCCTCCTCCACGAAGTACGTCTCGTAGACCGTGTTCTCCAAGGACGCGAGCTGGCGGGCCCCCGACAGCACCAGCTTCGCGATCAACACGAGCAGCTCCGTCTCCCACTTGTCGCCGTCCTTCTTGACGCCCTGAATACGGGAGCCTCCTCGCGCGTGTTTGGCCTCCGATTCTGGGGCCGTCGTCGTCCTCTTCATCCAGCTGGGCATCTCCGCGTCCGCGGAGCCCGATCCTGCTGCTGCTCCGACCTCTGGCATGTCTGGAAAGAAGGTGCTCGTGGGGAACACGATGCGGAAAAGGAAGCACACGATATGGAAGATGGGCCAGTTGATGGCTACGGAGGGCCTCCCAGTCCCCACCCACGAACGAGCACATGTTGCAGCTGAAGTCTGTGGGCGGTTTGAACTCTACCAGAGATCGTGGCTCCCAACGTCCGCAGTATCCTCTCAGTATTGATGCCTGTAGATGTCTAGCAGCAGTAGTTTGAGAACGAAAGACACGAACACATACTGGGCATTGATTCGTTTTGGTGAGAGCGTGTGGGAGGTTGCGGATGTGATGACGGTGACGTAGGTGCTCCATAAGCCCCTTCTGCGTCCTGAAACGTGCTCCACACTCCTCCTCTGGCCCCTCCCCGTCCCTGACGAAGGTTGTGCACTTGTAGGGGTACTCCTCCTCCTCCATCTGATCGTTGGTGCCTCCTTCCTCCTCCGTCTCCCTCTGCTCGAAGTTGGGGGGTGGGATGGCATACGTGCGTTCAGCGGCTCGGACTCTGCGGAAATCGATTCGGGCGAAATCTCGACGGCAATCATCATCTTCGATCAGTAACCAAGGGCATTCTCCAATCCTAGTGAGCAGCTCCTCCTCATCATAGCAAAAACGTACCGACTCAAGGATGTCCGTCCCGACTCTCTGGGTCCAAGGGGAAGCGTATTGTGTCAATCCCGTGGCGCTACACGGCATCGCATCCATCGCCTCGAAGGGGAAAGCGCCGAAGAGTGCGGACAACACCTGCACGTGAGACTCCTGATTCACTGCCCAATCCTGGTACCATGCAAGACGCCGTGCTAACAACTCTCGTTTGGTGGTGACAACCCCCCAGTATGCCAGGACCTCGTGCGTGCTGAGCGTGCGCTTGGACCCGTCCTCCCTCGTCGTGCAAGCCCTCCCCCTCATTGCCATTCTTCCCAATCTTGCTAGGTGTCTATCCATAGCTTCCATTTGTTTAGTACTTACTAGGAAAGGTTCCATGCCCGTTAACAGAGAACCCTGGACTAACCCTTGGAAGATCGTACGACGCCAGGCCTGAGGAAGAGGAAGGTTCCAGAAACCACCCATGCTGTAGTACGATGAGGTCGCTGCCGAGAGACGTCGTTCGACCTCTGGGGAAGACTGCTGTGTGGGTGTTAATACTGGTCCCAGATATCTTGCCACATCGGTAACTGTTCCCTCCATCTGCTGCCTAGCTATACCGTGCTCTCTGATGTGCTTCTTGCAATCGGTGGCGCGCTGTCCTTCGATGTAGAATAACGTGACCTGCTTGCTCTTGTTCTGCGTGTAACCTGCCGTGGCGAGTGCGGTATCTAGTAGCTCGTCTGATGTACGTAATGACTGATATACCTCACGCATGCTAGTGCCCGTGGCCAGTGGGATCGTTCTCAACAAGTCATCGGCGTATTTCTGGTATGACATGTCCGCTGGTTCACCGCACCATTCCCCTAACAATATCGAGGTCGTGGGTATACGCTCTAACATACCTGCTGCCCATTGATTAACTGGATCAACAAAGGCTCCTGAGAAACCGTGAACGTTAAAAGGGTCTCCCATTACTCCGCCAACTCCTGTTTTAACCATCAGTGGACCCGTCGTGGTGTCTAACTCTACAACTGATAGTCGATAACGTTGGCGGCATAATACTCGATCACAAGGACGAACTGTTTCTCGGACGACTTCATCTAGCTTGCTCCATTTAGTACTTCCAAAGGCATTCGAAAGGTCCTTAAGCGTAACTGCATATGACCACTTGGCCTGTCTCAACCTGCAGCACACAATCATCGTCGACATGATTGCGTCCTCTCGGCGACGGTGCCTTGCAAAGCCGTGGTCCTGAATGGGAAGCCTGTGGGATATCCGACGTGCATACCAAGCCTTCCCGATGGCGGGAAGGGTGTGGATTACTCTACGTCCCCTAGGCCCCGCTGAGTCGTTTTTGTGGAGTCCGATGCCCTTGGAACGGTGCCAGTACAGCGGCGACAAATCTGTTCGTCTTATCTGAGCGAGCCCAAGATGAAGAAGGTGATGAGTTTTCCGAAGATCAGGGGGTTCCTCATTGTGTCCCAGGCCGTGTCCCCGAGAAGAGATGCCGTGCGAGGGGGACAAGAGCATATCCCAGATCTCCAGTGGCGTGGTCCCTGGTGGCACCACCCGTCGTTTCCCTGCCTTCCTGCAGTAGCTCCTAAGCGTGCCGAAATCCTCGCCAGCCAACTGTGCAATGGCATCCTCGTCGCCTGCTGACGTGGGGGGTACTGGTAAGTTTTCCCTCTCTTGCCTCCACTCCGACCAGTCCATTTGTCTCGCTTCCATACCCCCTTCAGGCCCCGTTTTGGAAAGGTGCTCGATCCAGACTTCTTTGTCCAGGGGAGGGGGTCCGAGGCGGCGTCCATCCCGTTGTTTCGCACCGAATCGAGTCCTTGCCGCCTTCCTCGACAACGTCGTAGCATCCGCCATCCTCCTCTCCCTCCACGCCTCCTCGATCATCTCGATGTACATCCTCCTCTCTTCCCTCCTGGCACGCCGTCGTTCCACGAGCAGCATAGCAGACAACCTCTTCAGCTCCTCCTCCACCTCCAGTAAGGATAAGACAGCGGGTTGTTCACCCAATGTTTGCCCCTGCGCTGTGTGGCTCAAGGCTACCAAAACAGCTCGCTCCTTCCTCAGATTGTCCTCCTGGTCCTCCTCCACCGGTGGCAGATTAAGTTTGGACTCCTTAAGTTGAAGACGCAGTCGCAGCAGCTCTCGTCGACGCTTGGTTGCATTAGGATCCGATGCCTGAGGTGCCCGCGAAAAATGTCGGTGCCCGATGGTAGTCAATACATCCTCCATTTTCTCGAAGAAAGTGTCGGCCGATCCTGTCTGGGCGTAGCCCTCGAACTCGGCCTCACGTGCTTCCAGTTCCGTAGCTACTGCCTGGAGGAAGTCGCTCTTACCTTTCCCACTGCGGACAGCTTGCATGAGCGCCGACGGGTCCATTCTTTTTGGGGGGGCCAGGGGCAACATATACGGGTCCTTTTCATAGTCCAGCACGAGACAGAGAGGTAGATGATCACGGGGGGGTAGTCCCTTGATTGCTTGCAACTGAGCCCCCAAAGGACGTAATACCTTACATACCCGAACACGTTCATGGTATCCAGCAGGGAGAAACCAATAGTCAATTCTCGATGCCGTCGGAGGGTTGGCGGACGAGTAGAAGGTGTTCTCGAGAGGGAGGAAGGTCGACGGCGCGACGAGGTGCTGCTCCTCGAGCAACTTGCGGATTTCCTCGCCCGCTCCACGTCGTCTGGCCTCTCTGTTCCTATAGGGACCGATGGAGGAACTCGGTGGTTCCGTCCATGTACCTGAGATTTTGGAGCATCCTAATCCGTCGTTTAAATCAGCGTAAAATATGGGCAATGTGCGCGCAGGTAGTTCTTGTAACAGGTCCCTCATCCATCTAGTCAGTGCTTGCACCGTGGCGTAGTAGGGGCCTGCTTGTCCACGCTTGGAGGGTTGTGGCGGGTAGTAGAGGGCTCCCAGGGTCACATCCACCGCACCACGTTTTATCCTGGCAGCCACGGCCCTCCCCCCACAGTTAGCTGGAGACCCCCACACCTGGGCGACGTCCTTGTCACGGTATTCTGGGCCTAGTATTACTGCGCACCCCGTCGAGCTGTTAGTGTAGGCCCCAGGCGAATAAACTGCCTCGATCACCAGCCTCCCATCCACCCTTCGTCGTAGTACTCCCGTCCCCCTCCTACAACTCTCCTTGGTCCCTGCAAGCAAGAGGGCATCGGAGGGGCGGGTGGCGGCGAGCAGCTCGTGCAGCCGCTCGCCCGTCGCGTGGAGGGGGTTGAAGGCGAGGACTCGCAGGGCGGTCCTCGCCGCGGCGCCCGCGCTAGCGCCATGGGCCCGACGCATGGAGGAGCTCTCCGACCCCTCGGCACACTGTGGAAGTGCCGTGAACCCCTGTTCCTGGCGGGCCCTGAGCCGCGCAGGGGCTTGCGGAGGAGGAGGAGGAGGAGGAGGAGGAGGAGGAACTCGAGCCACTCGAGCCGAGAGGACACTCAGAAAAGAGGAAAGGTGTGCTTCCGTTGCCGCCCGCAAGAGCACCAACCACGAGCACGAGGCCCCGCGGGCCGCCCACGAGCCCGCGGACCCGCGGACCCGGGGCCCAGCGACACTCGCCAAGCTCCCGCCGACCCCCCGTGCCGAGCGGGCCTCCGCCCGGCCCCCCTGCGAGCGACACGCGCTCTCGAGACGCGCGGCACGCCGCCGCCCTGGTGGGCCAGGCCCGCGGACGGCGAGCACCGGGGAGGGAGGGAGGGCGGAGGCAGGCGGAGGAGAGCACGGGCCACGTCTCACTGCACCGACCTTGCAGACGTGCCGCCGCGGGTTTCTGCACGGATGCCTGCCCATGCAAGACCCCGAGACGGCGAGCGAAAAACGAAGTGAGCTTCACGCGGATGCTTGTGTAGCCTTCGTACCTGGCCAGAAAATCTTCACGAAATTCACTTCGAAATCCGGAACGAAATTCTCGAGGACTCTCTGGGCCCATCCTATCGTTTTCCGAACGAAATCCGCTCTGCGATGTTGGCGCCATGACACGTCCCAGCGGATGGAAACACGGGCAGATAGTTCGCACTCACCGAGGAGGCAGCAGGGAGAAGCAGCAGCAGCAGCAGCAGCAGACAGGACGGTGAGGGGGAGGAGGAGGGGGAGGGGCTCACTGGCCAATGGTAAGGGTATGATACTTGGCCGTCCAGACCCAGATACCGTACCGTGGACACGACTCGAGCAGCAAGTGACAGAAGCTACAAGGCGAGAAACGCATTCATGCTGAACCTGCTCAAAGACTACTGCATTTCAGTACTTAACAAAAAGAATGACTGCAGCGAGGACGCATCATACACAACGCACAGCACATGAAACATCAGTTCTACAAAATCTAAGTACATGCTGGCAAGACACGCGGCGGAAAGGAGGAGCGATAGGTAGGAACACTCTGATGTAGAGGGGAGGGGGAGGGGGGGCAAGGAGGAAGGAGGGGGAGGGAGGGAGGGAGGGAGTAGGGGGGGAGGGGGGGGGGGAAGGCAAAGTCGGAGAATCAGAGGGGAGGAGGGAGGGGGGAGGAGGAGGAGGAGGAGGAGGAGGAGGAGGAGGAGGAGGAGGGGCAGGAGGGACAGAACGGAGAGGAATAGCAGAGAAGATGAGAGGTGGAGAGAAGAAAAGGAGAGGCAAACAGGAAGTGTGAGGCTCAGGAAGGCAGGGGATGATGGAAGAGGGAGAAGGGAAGAAAAGAATACGGAGGAGAGAGGAGGGGCAAGAGGAGAAGAAGGAGGGAGGAGAAGAGGGAGGAGCAGGAGAGGAAGGCGACGGCGAAGACTACGACGACGACGACGACGACGACGACGATGACGACGACGACGACGACGACGGCGGCGGCAACGACGACAACGACGAAAATGAGAGAGGCGGCGACAAAAGCGCAAGCGCCAGCCTGCATGGCCGACCGCGGCCAGGGGCACCCCTTCGGCGATCCGAGCGATGCCTTGAGCCAGGGATGCGACTACGGCCGGACCTAGGACAGAGGAACGTTGAGGGCACCCTCCCCCAAGACGCACGCGAACATGCAATAAACACGCAGAACATGAGGGTACCCTCCCCGAACCAACCTCGATCTTACACCTCGGTCCGGCCGTATGTGTACTCAGACCACTTCGGGCCGCGACAAAACTCACGGCGGAACGGTGTTCGTTATTTTCGGCCTACGGAGGCCCTTACCGGGCTTCTGGGCCGTCCGTAAACCGGATGAGGTCTAAAGGTCGGTCCTGGGGAAGGTTTTTGTAACATATGGGAAGCGATGAATGTATATGTACACACGTATGTATGTATACACATATAAACAATGGTATTTACATACACATATACATAACCACATGCATACATACATACGTATGCATATGCATACAAACACACAAACAAACACACACATAAAAGTTTGTATTTGTATATGTACATACACACATACATACGTACGTACGTACAAGCATACATGCATACATACAGACATGCATAAATTCATGCATGCGTACATGCATACATACGCATACGTACACCTACATACCTACATACAGGCATACATGTCTATATACATACAATTAAACATACAAACATGCATGAGTGCATACATGCATGCACGCACGCATGCATGCAAGCATATGTACATGCATACATGCATGCATGCATACATTCATACACACATACATACATACATACGTACATATACACATACATGCACGCATCCCTACATACATGCACACATGCATGCATGCATTCATGTGTACGTACGTGCGTACGTACGTGCGTACGTGCGTACGTGCATACATACATGCGTACATGCATGCATAAAGAATTGCATGTATACATACATGCGTGCATGCGTATAGATTGTTGTGCATGTGTATATATATATATGTATATATCTGTATACATATATATATATACAGCACTCGTACCTTGGACATCGAGGTCAGAGCGTCCGACAAAAACTAGAAAGGCGCTCGAGAGCGGTCTTCCATGGCCTGTGTAGCCCTGCGGATAGCATAGTAGAAGCGGTCTCTGGCAGCCTCGGAATCGAGAGGGCCAGGGGCCGGAGCCGCGCGCACAACATTGCACATGTGATAAGCACGTACAAGCCGCTTTACCTCTTCAGGAGACCGTGCCCCAGCGAGGCCTAGACGAGTGGCTATGCACGCGGGGGGCTCGTCGGGGTGGCATACAAGGCCCCACAAAATTGCACAACGAACGCAATGAGACATGTTTCCACGGCAGCCGACACAAAATAATCCACAGCCTCGAACCGCGGAACTACGCAGACGCGCGCTCGTGATCCAGGCCCCGCCTACTGTTTTTAGGACCGCGCTTTGCCGAGAGGGCGGGCCACCACCCTCTACGAGGTCCCTGAGGGGGCCCAGCTCTGGAAATCAAAAGCAACATTCCAGGAGTCGAGGCGCTTCGTAATTGTGTCCTGCAGGACGTCTGGGAAGAGAAACGCACGAAGGGAGGAGGAGGGAAGCCTCTGGACTCGCACCCTCTCTGGCCCTGCCTGGTCGTCGAGGGCGGCGAGAGCGCTGGCGGCAGCCTCAGAGAACTCACGGGTGCCGAACTGGCCGAGCGAGGCCGCCTCCACATGCAGGACCAGCGGCTGCGAGAACCAGAAGCGTGGCGAGAGGCGCCCGCTCGATCACAGCCAGAGTGCCGCGCTCCTCGACCATCGCCTTGAGCTTGGCCAGGAGCGACCTCCAGGTCGTGAGCGCCGAGCTCGCCACCCGCATGCGAGACGCCATGCTGAGCATCGTCATGCTGCTGGGGCGCAGAGTTGACCATGAAGCAAGGCACATGATGGCGCGCTTCGGGAACGACTGAGGTGGGAGGTGCCAGACTTTGTGCCATGCCCAAGCCTCTCTTCGGTGCAGCGAGGGCGGGACCGGCGCAAGCTGCATGATGTAGCCCAGCACCGACAGCACCCTCGAATTGTAGATGACGGTGGAGATGTGCACAGGGGCCCCAGCGCGAGCAAGTTCGCGGACTCGGTGGATCCATTTGGCCCCAGGTTTCTGCCACAAGATGTCAGGTGTGGCCTCTGGACCCAACATGACCCCGAGGTACTCGGCGTAGGGCACGATGTCCAAGGATCGCCAGGCAGGCAGCGCATCCGCGAGCCAGCGGCGAGTGGCATCAGCGAGCTCAGGGCTGAAGGAGCCGCTGAAGGGGGATGACCTTGCACTTGCGGAGCTTCAGGGAGAGCCCCGCAAGGACCTCGGCCGCTCTGAAGACGCGCCAGAGCCGCTGCAGGATGCGGCGGTCTTGCACGACGACTCCCACGGCGTCCGCGCAGACCCCCAGCGCTGAGGAGGCAAAGGAGCTGATGGTGGACTCCATGTGCAGCACGAACGGGTTCATGGCGACGGCCAACAGCGAACCGCTGAGCGGGCACCCCTGGGCGATGCCAGCGATGACGTGCATGAAGTGTGTGAGGACACCTTCGACGGCGACGAAGGCAGCAGGCAGCCAATACATGCCCATGATGAGCTGGTAGATCCCCCCTTTCGAAGCCCG